GTAATGATTAGGTAAGATGGAGGTTATTTACCTGTAAACCTAAGGTTGTTTACATAAAGTAATACCACTGATAATGAAATCTTCTTTCTGGCTTGGTAGCCCCCAGAGTAGGTGTTGTTGTACACCGAACTGGGTCATCATATCTTTATGTTATTATTATTCTGCAAATTTATAGTTCAATATTTTTCTTGATTGATTGACATGTTGTAATAGATGTTGTAACATCTGTCATGACTTTATACTGATAAAGATTATATCAGTATGCTTTATCCTATCTTTGTTTTCTCAGCAGAGATCTGTGTCTTGACATGTGTTAGGATATTAGTTATCTGTACACCAGAATTTCAGAGATGTTAAGGACATGATGGAAATATATGATGATGAGTGAGGGCATAATGGGAATAACATAGAAAGGGTCTAATGAGTAACAAAGTAAAATGAGAAAATTAGAGAAGGAACGATTCATTCTGTACGACCAGATAAAAGGGAGAACGTGAAAGAAGAGCTAGGGCACATAGAACTAAGAAGGGAATTCAGTAAAACTCGATGGGATAATCAAATCGCTAGGAATTTAAGTTAAGAGGTGTAATATCAGTTTATTATGATTGATAGGGGGTTAAGGTAGATGTAGGTTGTTGGTTTGTATGATTATTCTGATGAAAATCATGACGAAATTATCGATTGATGATGTTGGTATACTATGATTTATATTCATAATGTTGAGACGATGTGTTTTGATGGTAATACGTGATATATGATGCTTATAATGTGTTTTGGACTGAGTATGATGCCTAGAATCAGAGTTAGGATGGTATGGACAAAAGTGAAATCGCAAATGAGAAGTTGTTGATTCGCTAGCGTCGTCGGACGAGCCAACTGCCGAGCATGATGGTGAAAAGGTGAGCTCCTAGAAAATGTATGGGAGGGGAATATCGCCCCAGCGTCTTCGGGCGAGCGAGGCAGCGATGGACTCAATCATGCTATTATCCGGGCAAGCATCAGGCGAGAGGGAGGCGAGTAGAGCGTTCCTAGGGTGTCGGGCATGGCTTAGCCGAGCAAACATGGCAATAACTTCAAAGTGTCGTAACTTGAGTTTTAGGACTCTATTTGACACGCCGTTCGAAGCATTGAGGAGATGACGCACAAATCCATTTCATGGAATAATAATATGAGTTATTGTTGTTTTATTCCAAGACCTATGTATTTTATGAAATGGGGTTATTAGTTTCTGAATATGCAAATATGTTCTATATTGATGATGAACTTGATGTTGTTGTGAAGTTTCTATGATGTTGCTGTGATGTAATTGATGTTACCTGTGGTGATATTTTAATGTTGTGAATGTTTAATATGTATACATGCTATGTAAAGATGATCATGTCATGGTTTTGTGAATGATGATGCAGTTGACTAACTGTGGTCGAATTTATCTGAGACGTTGTTGTGCATCATGATTTCATGGAATTTTTAGACGTTGGTCCGCTTGTGATGAGCCTTAATCCTATTGTGTAGATTGGGTGCGAGTAGCTAGATCCTCTCCCGGGGATTTAGTGAAGCATTATTATAATAGTAGTAACGATTTATATTGTGCTCCGATTCTAAGAAGGAATGAATCATATGGTGGGAATCTTTGCAGGGTGATGAACCAGGTGTTTATAAATTTGATACCACATGCATTGAGTCAATATTGTTGCATGAACATCCTATGTGACATTGCATGAATTTTGCTGATGAGTTGTGTTGTGGTGATAATTGTGATTATATGATGATTTGATGATGAAAGATATCTAAGTGCTATTATGATGTATCAATGAGTATGAATTGTTGATGAACGATATGTGTTGATTATATGATGATGTTATTTATAACTACTATTTTTCGTTATATCTTTTATAATAAATTGTGATTACTCACCTTTATGTTTGAATGTTGTCTCCACGTGAGTAACGTGCAAATGCTCAGGAGTAGCTTGTAGGAGTATTGGAGATAGCTTTAAAGTATTTTATGATTTCTGTTATTTTAGTGGTGTCTTACTCTGATATGTAACATCAAGTTGAGAAAGTTTGTTTTGCGAATTCTATGCTTCTTTAGTTAACACATTTTATGAGAATTTTTGGAGATGTTAAACTAGTTTTAACTCTAACTTTTGATGAGACTACTATGGAACTTTGATTTGTGAAGAATTTTATTTATGATGATGTATCTGCTGTGATGATTTAAATGATGTGTTGGTCTATAATAAGATGTTATTTTTACTTAATGTAACCCGTGTTACGGAGCAAGGTTGTATTATGACGTTCTGGAATGAACTGTGGCACCCTTGTGTGGTGACTTTATTTAATTTATTTCGTAAAATATATAATAAATACACGCGGGGTTAGAAAGATGTTACACATTCGACCCGCTCCGAGGGAACTAGGCGACAAAGTCATTCCGAGTGTATATTGACCGATTGGTGTTTGAAGATATACACTTTCATACCTACTTCAACCACTATGTCACAATTCCATTTGACGATGTTACACTGTATTCTGGATGGTTGGCTTGTGGGTCACAGAAGATGGATGCTCATCTTCCTGAGCGCGTCATGCGTCAATTCGGGTACATGCAATATATTCCCCAAGATCATGTTGCGTCTGCTCCTCCCCTAGTGAAACAGAGGGATATGAATGCTTTATTTTTATGATTATGTTAATCATCTTGTACCAGATGAGACCCAAAGTACTTTAGCACCAGACAACTGGAGCTACATGGACGATTATATCATATGGTTCTTCAGGGTGTTCCATCCATATTTAATACAAGATGCTCCAGGAAACCCACCAAGACCAGCTTATCAGGAGATTCTAGAGAAAGAGCAAGTTAGAGCTGATCGTGCCACTAATGTGTAGCCTAGGTGCCATTGTATCATGGAGATTGCACAAACGGGTATTGATGAAGGTTTGTTTCTTGATGGCCTTTATGTTAGAGGTGTTCTAGATGCCATCATGGCGGATGCTCAACGATACAAGAGGCGGCGGAGGAATGACATGAGGGTGACAGGTCGACTCATAATCTGCCATACCCAGTAGTCTTCCTTGTTGTATATGTATTTTGGTTTGTATAATATTTTGTTTATCGATTTTTTGATTATATTTGGATAATATTTTGGGTCACTACCTTTATCGACTTTGAACATCTTTTGTATTGAAAATTGGTTACTGCATAACTTTTTTTATTACTGTCTATATAAAAATCAGAAATTAAAAAACTAGTGACATGCTAGGCTTCGGCAATCTTGCTCAACAAAAAAAAAAAAGACTAGTGGCATGAAGCGTCGCTTTCAAAACCAAAACTAGTGTTTCACTTCCACTCAGATGTTAATTAGTCTTTTTTACTTTTTATCAAATCTTGCAAGTGGTTGAAAAACCCCAGTAATGTGAGAGTGAAACACTTGCTTGTGTTGTGTTAGGGTTCTAAGAAATGAAGAAACAAGAATCTGAACAAAAACTAACTGAACCACACCACAGTTCAGACCACAAACAACCAGAAAATGAAGAAGAAGAACAAGAAGTTAACATAGAGCAAAAGCAAAGTACTAGCAAATCCCCTTCACCACCGCTTCATTCTCTCTCAGACTCCCCAATTTCCGATGACCATCGCTCCCTCCCTCTAGTCGTGCAACCGCCGGTGGTAACTGCTCACCGATTCCAGGTTGAGCCAGCGGTCATCACCAAGGTAGATCCCGGTGCAGAAGAGGGTTTCGTCGGCGTAAAAGAGGTTGAACGAGAACACTCTGCCACCGGTGGTGGCGATGGTGGTGGTAACCGGAGATTGAGACCGGACGTGTCGAGTTTGTTGAGGTCGGAAAAAGTTGTGAATTTGAATAAGTTTTTGTTGGGCCTTAGAATTGCAGGGTTTGTTTTCTGCTTGGTTTCTTTTTCTGTGTTGGTTGCTGATAGAAAAAAGGGTTGGGCTCTTGACTCTTTCTATTTGTACAAGGAATTCAGGTTAGGTACTTTCTTTTTTATATGCTCTAAGACTAAGTAAGAAAATAAGTGTTTTACTTAGGAGAATAATTCTGTGTTTGGTTTGGTTTGGTTCTATGATTGTGAAAATTGATTTTGGCTTGTGATTTTGTATTGCAGGTATAGCTTATCTGTGAATGTGATTGGGTTTGTGTATTCGGGGTTGCAGATATGTGATCTAGTGAAGTACTTGATCAGCCGAAAGCATATAGTGGAGCATAGACTAAGGGGTTACTTCACTTTTGCATTGGATCAGGTAACTAAGGTTTTTCACTAGTCATGTTAGAGGAGTCAAGTTTGTTAATTTTTACTGTCAATGGTCCAAAAGTATTTTACCATCAATTTACACTTCTTCTGCAAACCTAAGAAACCTCATATTTCACAATATGCAATTGCGTTCGGTGAAAAATAGTGTTTAACTTTAACATGCTTTGCAATTTTGCTTTTGTATTCTATACGATGGGGACACATTAGATGCTATTGGTAATGTAGATAACTGAGCCATGGTTTCGAAGGTTACCTAACACCACATCATCATAAAGTTTTCTTTTGCTAATGCTGGTTATCGAGATAATTGATCTTAGGTTTCAAAGATTACTGAACATCACAATTTCAGTGAATCAAGAATTAAATACTTATTTAATTGAGAAATTGTAAATTAATTCAAAGTAGGCCTTTCAGTATTTGTTGTTCTTCACTCCTTCTTCATGATCTGAAAAATGTGTGTTCTGTAGTTTGATACATGCTTACATATCCTAACTATACCATTAAACAGCTGTTGGATTGCTTGTTTTCAATTGCAGATCTTGACATACCTTCTAATGTCCGCATCTTCATCGGCTGCCACTAGAACTTATGACTGGGAGTCCAACTGGGGTCACGACAAGTTTCCGTTCATGGCGAATGCATCAGTGGTTTTGTCCTTCATTGCTTTTGTGGTATTTGCCTTCGCCTCTCTAGTCTCGGGTTCTATCCTCTGTAAGTTCTGATAATTTATACTTTATACGAATGTTGCAAATGGATTGGAAAGTGTTCAATGTTCTCAGAAAAAATACTTTGTACAGAGAGGTATATATTCACATCCTCACGTGATTGCTTACAACTTGTGGAGCTAGCATTACCATATCTTGTACTTTTTGTATTTATTAAGATGATATATGCTATGAATGCATGTTTATTAGTGAGAACAATCTTCATCAAATAGGTTTTGTAGTGATGATATGTCAAACTCAAATTTTTCACCTTCATAATTGAACTCATTCTCCACATCCATATTATGAGAAGCAAGAATAGGACTTTACACCTATGAGAAACATAACCATACTTTCACACCTATGAGAAATTGATTTAGCATATTGGTGAATTTGAGGAACATAACCATACTGCAGTGAAATTGATTTAGCATATCGATGATGTTGGCTTACAACAAAAGAAATAATTTGATGAGTAAAGAGGTAGAGCTAGAACTAACTTAGAATTTATTGACTTGATCAAAAGAACTATCTATGAAATAGAAAACAAGGATTTGGTAAATGAGGAAACCAATTATTTTTGCAATACTTTCGGAATAAATCCATTGAAAATCCAACTTCATACCATGCCCTATCAAATTGATGTCGAAGATCAAATAACCAATGTATTTTGGGTAGATGCAAGGGTGATTATTGATTATGATTATTTCGATGACGTGGTTTCTCTTAATTCAACGTATTGTATAAATAATTTGCATATACCACTAATAGTATTTTCAGGATTTAACCATCATTGAAAAACAATCATATTTGAGACAGCGTTATTATATTGTTCAAGTGACTACTTGAGAAATTTTTAGAGGCACTTGAGCAAAAATTGCTTCAAAATCAAGGTCATGCCATAGCAGAAACACTTGCTGAGATTTTATCAAATACTTATCGCAGAGCCTATATGCATGATACTTGATGCAAAATGGCATCAAGCACTTGGACAATTTAATGAAGGGTGAATCTCACATTTTAAGAGTTTTAAGAAATGTATGAGATTTATACTCTCATGATGTTTGATCTATTCTAAAGTGAGTATGAGTTGTTAGAAACATATTTTATGAAAGCATGAATATACACATACATCACTATTTGATTTTGTTATTGTCATGGCAAGGGATATAGGAGAGTACGAGTGTCATTTGATTTCGATAAGAATTTAATTTGTTGCTATTGTTGCAAATTTGAGAATTTTGATATACTTTGTTGGCAGAACTTCAATAAAAGGAAAAAAGAGAGATACAAAAGAGAAAGAGGGGGATCAAATCAAAACCCTCTTAAATGTTAGAGAACTTAAAGAAAGGCAAACCGAGTATGTTGTTAACAAAATTTGTTCTCGGGAATAAAGGCAGCACGTCAAAAAAACAGAAGTTTGTAATCGTGAGACCGAGGTTAGTAAGGGAGTCTGCAGAAGTATTCCCTTCTCTATAGACGTGAGAAACAACAAAAGACATATGTGAGGTTATATTAACACAATTAATTCATCTGGTTCGAATCTGCCAAGAAATCGCATATGGAGACTATTTTGTATAGTGCCAACAAAGTGTTAAGCAAGCGAAACAGATGGTTCCTTGGTTATGCTCACTGTAGATTTCTCGAATGCTTTTAACATGGTAGATCGATCAGTCTTATTGTGCGAGGTGAGGGTGAGATGCCCATCTATTTCTTCGTGGGTTGAGTTTCTTTATGGTCAAGCATCAAGGTTGTACCTTGGGGATGGATATATTATGTCCTCCACTGGTGTGCAACAAGGTGACTCGTTAGGGCCACTCCTTTTTGCTCTTGTGTTACACCCATTCATTCATCAGGTTAAGGACAACTGTAAGCTTCTTCTTCATGCAATAAGGAATTCACACGAGGTGGCTAAAGCCCTTGATATCATTCGGGAGATAAGTCCAAGATTAGGTCTTGAATTGAATATTTGTAAGACTGAGATCTTGTCCTTCATGCGATGATAGTAAACTTCGTGAGGATCTGTTCTCGCAAAAAATTGGGAGGCCGCTGTTAGGGATGAAGTTGCTTGGTGAGGATGTTCGTCGGGATGACAGTTTCATTAAGGAGTTGTTCAAGAAGAGAACTTCCAAGACTATTGATTTAATGCGCCTTCTACCACAACTAAGAGATCTTTAGAGTGAGCTTCTTCTACTTCGATGTTGCATGGATATTGCCAAATTATTTTTTGGCCTAAGAACATGTCAATATACTCATATGAAGGAAGCAACTGTTTGGTTTGATAAAGAGTTGCAGAAGGCGGTTGAAGACACTGTGGTTGGTGGAGATCCTTTCTTCGGGGATCTTCAATGGAGGTTGGGTTCATTATCCATTAGAGTTGTGCTCGGCTGTAGAGGCTACCTCATACGCCTTTCTAGCTTCTAGGGCCCAATTTTGAGTGTTACAGGATCATATATTGAGATACAATGGAGTGTATGGTATGAACTCAGATTTCGACAGAGCTTTGGATGGTCTTAGTGTTGCGATTTCAGATTTTGACCTTAGCAATTTTACTAGTAATGACACTGTCCCTCCTAAAGAACAACATGTTTTGGCGAGTGCCCTTTTTAGTAAAATTGTTAAGGACATGGATGTGAAGTTTGACATGACCATAAGGCAGAAGGCAACTTTTGATTGTTTGCAAGCCGCACATGCTCAAGACTTTCTCCTTGCTATTTCTATTGATAGGATAGGTTAACATATGTCACTTGTGGAATATCGTACTATCATAAGATACCGTCTTATGGTTCTTTTATTTCCTATTGATGAGGTTTGTCATGTTTGTCATAAGGTGTGTTTGGATATATTTTGGGGAACACACTATTCATTGTAGGGAGCTTTCAGACTTTAAATACCGACATGACCTTGTTAAGGATGTCTTGTTTGATATATTCCAATGTGCTGGAGTATCTGTGAAGAAAGAGATGCCTGTGAATTTTTTGATTGACCCACTTGAGGGGAGATCGACACTTAGGCTGTCAGATGTTTTGGTGTATGGGTGGGTAAGAGGGAAACATGCTTGTGTGGACTTGACGAGAGTTTCTCTATCGATGGGTTTAAGGGATGGTGGTTTTACTGTAGGACAGACAGCTCTCAAAGCCGCTTCCATTAAAGTGGTCAAACATGAAAAAACGTGTTCTAAAAATCAACACATTTTTATACCATTTGTCTTTGACACTTTTGGTTTCCTAACACCAGAAGCAGTTGTCCTCACTTTAATAGGATAACTACTTAAGCCATTATTATAAATAATATATTTTATAACAAAATTTTTACTTCAGTCAATAAATAATTTAAATATATTTTTAGGGTGTGTCATGTTTAATTTTTTTTTTTAAATTATAATATATTCCTTCGATGTTTTGAACCAATCGAGGGGGTAGACCTATCGGGTTCACGCTTCGATTTTTAGTTTCTGCATTTTCTATTTTTTATTTATTTTTTAATTAGCTTAGGAATTAAGCGTTACATTATTTCAGTTGGTGGTTTTTCCTTTTTTAATTTATTTTAACATTAATCTTTGTTGGATAAAAAATAAATACTTGATAAAAAAATCACAGTAATTTTTATAAACAAAAATATTAATTTTATTCAATTAATTATTTAAATTTCTCATTGTTTCAATTGATCCTTATTTTTTTATTAATGTTTTTTAAATTTTAAATCGGTCTATTCCCTATATTAGATTGTCCAACCAAAGAAAAATATCATTTGCATCAATTTTTTAGAATGTGGCGCTTTTGCATGTATACTTCGTAAAAGTAAACTATAACTTTTCATTTACTTTTCAATATTCATTTCATCTTTATTCTCCTACGAAACACGACACCCTAACATATTTATCTTAAAATCTTCATCAAAACGCCCTAACATATTTCTAAACTCAGATTCCATTATCGTTTTTGAAACAGTGTCTCTTCTAACACATGTATGTGTTCGAACATCATCTCTTCCAACACACGTACATGTTTGAACACCATCTCTTCCAACACACAAACACCATTAATGCCATTGAACGGATTTTGAAACAAAGAAAAGATAATCAAACTCGAACGAACCTTCCTCAACCATTTTCATCATGTTTTTAGTACGTAAATCACTTTATCCATGCACATAACTTAGAAATATTTGTTTTTGTTGTTGTGAATTGCTTATTGCTTATAGATTATATTGAGAGAAGTTATTATGATTATGTTTATAAAAATATAAATATAATTTTCCTCTTTAGTGTTGTTGGTAACAAAAGTCCATTTGTATCTTTAGTAGTATAACTTATATGCATGAGTTAAATAAAATATATTTTCTTGGTTTTGTGTCAAGTTAAATGTTAGGAGGCTATTCTTATGAAGTTCTCTTAGAAAGTGTTGATATTGAGTTGAATAAAATATAACATATGCATCATAAATCTCACACCAGGCGCCTTCGTTGATTTGTGTTAAGTAAAATATTTATCGTTGTTCTTGTTTAAATATAGATGAGTGATTCGACCTCCACCTTTCATAAGTATAATGTTTACGGAGAAAATACTGAGAATTTTAAGAGTTACGTGACAGAACTTGGTAGAAGCAAAGTTAATATTTTGATAGATCATTAGATCGATGTTTTAGGTGAATTGAAAACAAAATTATTGACCGATATTGGGATATTTATTTTAAACTTCATGATTTGTTTTACAGGTATATATGACCATTTATTTATTTTTTAATATTAATACCAACTCTATTATGTAAATGTAAGAAGTGTTTATTATTCCAAACGAAGATAAGCTGTCAAAGAAATAGATTTCATATGCTGTTGAGCGTTGGAGGGGCTTTAAGCCACAACTCACAAGAGATTATATTATATATCCAAAGTATAACTTAAGGTATTTATATAAGTGAGATAAGTTTGTCCAGTTTCATGCACTCCAAAATTCTTTAGCTAAGAACCAAAGAGGAAAAGAGAATAGAGAAATAAATATCTATTCACATAAATTGTCTCGTGGAAGATTTGATAAATTGGAATAAATAATGATTTAATAAAAAAGAAAACAAAGATAACTAAAGTTGGGATATCCTTATATAAGACTTAATCACAACCCATCTCCATCATGACACTATGAGAAATGAAAGAGAGCACGTCAAATACCAAGAGACGAGTTCACATTAGAGGCTACACGTGAAGTTGCTGAAAAGATTATAAATAGATATTTTTTTCAACACTACTTATTTTAGTGTATTCAATTTTGTAAAGATGAACTTTTATTTGTGTTGTAGGATTTGTCGGCTGATAAATCCAAGGATGGTACCT